ATAACAAATTCAACATACTAGCACTGTTTAAGTGTATACATTCTGAAATAACACGAGGGTCAACCATGGCTTAGTAGAAAACCTGCTTGTCAGCGATGGCTTAGAAGGGAGCTTGCTTGTCAGCCATGGCTTAAAAAGAAACGGCCCGCTTCTAAACCAAATTATCGCAGATATTGGAGCCACGCGGATTCGCTGTCGTGAAGCTAGACGACGCTACGAGGAATCCCAAAATCATTTGTAAAACGAGCCGTTAGCTTCTTCTATCGCTCATGCCAATCACATGTAACTCTCTTACCGGTAAACACGTACAAAAAAATAAACCAGTGGTGTACATCGTATTTGCTGAATATTGTAAGTCTTTTCAATAAAAGGTGACAGAAGTTACACTGCAATGGATCGTACGAGTATTGGAAATTCATTAGGGAGAAGTTTATCGTCTCCACGAAAACGCATGTCAATCGTTCAGTCGATGAAGAAAAACAATTCGTAAGTTTCGTTAACAATATTCAACTAGGCGAATGAAATACTGTTAGTTATAAAATTCGCATGTGTTTCATTTTCACAGTACAATAAGCGTATCAGGCCGATCAAATCAGTCAGTACAAATATTATGTAAAACACTGAATCATGTTGTGGAAAGCTTTGGTTCTTCGTTACCCGTACTGGTTACAGAAGCATTGACATTTGTAGACAGAAATACCACTGTCAGCGTTAACATTTCAGTGGATGGCTGGGCTTGGCTTGTATGTGGCCGTAGACTGCTTGTTTGGCAGTGCAAAACTACCATTCATGATCCAAAGCAAAGGAGGACCTTCAAAAGCCAATGTAGAGAATTGTTATTACCTCAAAGTGATTTAGCTCATAAAGCAGAATGCATTGCTGTTTGGTTACCTGCAGGCCATCAGGTATAAAAATCCATTACTTTGTATAGAATATTGTTATTAAAATGAAATATTTCTCAATAACGCTAGGTACCTAGCTGTATGGCAGTTTCTCCTGAAGGCATAGTACGCTATTGGGCCAGTGTTGCACATGAGGGATCTTCTGTAGAGACAAGCGCAGAGCTTGCCGGCCAAGAAGTCGGTTGCCTTACTTACATACCTGGTCATGGATGTATTTTAGTTACAACTACTTGTACAATAGCATTGTTACAACCACAGTTTGTTAGTGGCAAAAACAGTGTGACTTGTCAAGTTCTTAGAACAAGCCAAGGATGGTTAGGAGGCATAGGACGTAGAATGACCTCTCTCATTTTTGGTGCAATACCTCAGTCTCCAGTTACAGAAACGGTAAGCTTTGTATTTAATATTATGTACAATGAAAGAACTATTGAAATAAAATTGTTTCTGTTCTTCAGAAATTGGTTAAAGTTACTTGTACGCCTCTAGGGGACAGAGGGTCGAGAGTCCTTATTTTAGCGGGCTCTTCCTTGCAATATTGGTCTTTCCCTCAGAATGAACAAGAAAAAATGGAGTTCGATGAAGACATCGGTCATATCATTTCACAAACATTTCAACGAAAAATTTGGGTATGTATAACAGACACCGTTTTCAGAGGAGGAAAATATTTAATAGATTTGTTTGATCATAGGAATCGAGCCAATGCAATCCACAGAACATAGAAACTTGGTTGATTGATATGCAGCCTTGTAACGAAGGAATAGTGTTTTTAATGGCAGCTCATGATAGAGATGCCTTGCCTTGTATCGAATTTGCGCTTGGTAATTATGATCTGACTTAAAACAATTTTGTCGTACCTTTCTATGAATGGAATAACGATATATATTATTACAGGTTTAATACAGTTATCGGGCACAATGTTAGCTAATACCTTTAAATGGTTTATACCAATCAAAACTGAAGGTATGACGATGTATCATGACGATATTGAGTCAAATTTAGTTTCTTATCGTTTTATATTATGTGGATGGGAAGCCATCATATACAATCAGTCTGAAGTATACGTTGTTAATTGTGAGTTAAATTTTATTCATATTTCTAAATCTCATAGTTTTTCTTTTGTATTCTTAGAAGGTAGTTCTTTTAGGTATATCAGAGCATGAGCAAGATAAATTTGATTTGGTGCGAGGGGAGGACAGTATTCTTGGTGGCGCGTTATGTTCAGGAACACCAGTTCTTTTCACGAAGAATTTCGGGCTTGTCTCTATCATGCCGACAGATTTTATTTCGCAAGATTTTAATATGTTCGTTCTTTTGGTACATACGTTTCATATGAAATAAATTATTTTACTAAAAGTATAATTCTTTACTAGGAGTTGCTCCGATAACGTAAGTCCAAGTACGGAGTACAATTATCGGCCAAGTTTGACCGCGCAGAACTTTACCAGTCTCATTAGCAACGAAGAAGTCCAAGACATGTTTTATAGTTCAGATAACGCTATGCAATTACGTGCTGCGTTCCTGCTTAGCCTACGACAAAATAAAGCTCAAGGCGAAGAAATATTATCGCAACTTTTTCCCTTGCAAGAAGAACCTGTGATGGATATAGACGCCAATCTCGATACACTAATCTTGAAAGTAGCTAAGGATTTGATAGACGATTATCCGGCGAACGATCCACGATGGTCGAACCACAGAGATTTGTGTAACTAAATTATTTATACATTATCATTAACCATCAAACGTTACATGAACTTCATTCATTCCGTATCGTTTGCAGCAATGACAATAAACGCAGTTATTTCTATGCAAATACCTAATCAATTAGAGGGGAAGCAGAAAGCTTTAGACTTATTTATTGCGTTTTTGAAAGAACATAATTTATGGGACAGGGTAAGTTAATCTAATGAAAGAAAAAATTCAGTAGATTCGACATTGGTTTAAATCATTTTCAATTCAGTTCTGCGCAGTTACGTATAGAGGAATAATCATGTCTACGCCGCATGTTCTTGGAGAATACGCAGAGAAAATAGTCGCAGCACTGACAATATACAGTCTTCAAAATAGGTAACTCCTTTTTCACGATGTGTACGTATTTTTGATTGTAACGTAATTTATGTCCGATTCGTTCCAAGATATCCAGACATCGTCGACACGATAATGGAGCAAACTTTAAGCCCTGAAGCGTACGTATCTGATGAATTAACAGCACGCGATATTTTTTATCGCGAAGTAAGTACCGTACATCGATTTCTCCCAACATTAGTGAACAATGCATCGGAGATAACTCAATCTGAGAGGCCCATTCAACAAGTAGCACATTACATAATGCAAGTGAACGCTGTATTATTAGTAAGTATGCACTCGACGTTATCATAAAGAAATAAGATAGAATATCAAGATGTAAGTTATTGATTAAACAATAGGGCATACTGAACGAAGTGGTCAAGTATCGACAGCACAACGCTGAGCGCTTTGTTCCTACGAGTTGTTCGAATGGTATAACTGAGTATCTTCCATGGACGGCAGCAGTGGGAAAACATGGATTGAGGAATTGTCTCACCACGATGGTTAAGACAGTCATAATCTTTCTTTATTGTATAGCAAAAAGAATTGGTGCATAGTGTTTTCATAGACGCGTTTCATTTTAGTATAATTTAACACTTAAGCATGGGATAACCGGAACTAACGACACGACTGTGAGGAATGAATTGTACGAACAATTAGTCAGTTACATAGACTTAATATTGGATGGTAGAAAATGTCATTTGGAAAGTATCAGAGGCACGGAGAAGTTCGAAATACTTTTGAAGCAATATGAAACTGATAGGATGAACCTGATCCAACCATTAAGTATGTATAAATATAAGTAATTAAAGCAACAGAAATTTCACGTTGAGTGATTTACAGTAAAAGAAGAGCAATACGATAGCGCTGCGATGTTAGCCGAGAAGTATTGCGACTTCGCATCGCTTATACAGATATGCGAGTTGACCAACAACAAAAATCGCTTGGACGGGTACATGAAAAAATTCGCGGCTCAAGATTTTGTAGGATTTTTATTCTCATGGTTAGTTCACAAACAGAAGATGATATTATTCTTATTGTCTATTATAATTTTTGTTGATCGCAGGTATGTGAAAGACGGTAGACAGGGTCAACTAGTAGAAAAATGTAGACGCGATGGTACAGTCGAGTTGTCGGAGAAATTAGCGGAACATCCAACCTTGTCGTGGGTGCAGTCTGCACTTACGGATGATTTGCGTTTTTCAGCTAACACGCTTCATTCTTTAGCGATTCAGGAAGTGGAATTAGTAACGCGTAAAAAGGTATAATTTGCCAACGTTTGCTTTCTGCCGTCCTTCTTTCTTTTCGTACAATTTAAATATCTTCTACTTAAAAACTGTTCGTTTGCTTTTACAGTCTATGCTTTCTTTAGCAAAATTGGCTCTTCTCGCCTCAGACGAGCCTGAGGAACAGGTGAGAAATTCCGTAAAGAGAATCAATAACGAATTGTCTTTGGTAGCTCATCAAGAAGATTTACCAACACAAGTACTTAGAACGTACGGTTACGACGTAGAGAAATTACGAGTGTTCTCAGCAACAGAATTAATCACGGTAATACATCATGTACTTTTTAGTGCATATTAATATTTATGTAATTGTACGATCATATAATTTGATATAGTTATACACGTCCGAGGATAACGTTGACGCCAACGAGTATGATTTCAAGAAAGCTCTAGATTTACTTGAATATGTGGAACAAGAGGATGAAAAGACGTCGCTAAAATTACGAGTTTGGGCACGAGCCGCGAAACGAGATCAATGGGACACGGTGGAGAAGAGTCCCGAGCAACAAGTACAGGAAACGATATTTTTCAAACTGATGGATCTCGCACACTTCATGGGTATATTAATTTGTTACTTGTTTAAAATACGGTTTTAAACCATTATTAATGACGTTTAATTAAACTACTAATAATCCACGATTTACTTTATTAATATACGCAGGTGGCGATGTAAACGAATTTCTCCCACCGGTTGATGCGCTTCTAGTAGAGCCCGAATTGGGAAGCCTCGCCGCATCGAGCAATTTTCAATTTCTGATCAAGTTCGTTTACGAGTACGCTTATAGCAATTATTAATCGACTGTAAGTAACAACAGAATTTGTATTTTTTTAAGTAATAAATATATTTCTATGTACTGAATTACATTTAAATATGAAAGCGATATAAATACTAAATTATTAACTAATATTTGTGTTTTATACTACGCTGAAATTCTCCCGAGAAAGTACAAAACAAAAAAGATGCATAACGATATTGTTTTCATGTTTGGACCTACAAAATTAGCTTGATTTGTTTTGATACGTAGGATAACTCTCACTTGATCCGGCGTCTTGCAGTCTATCTCTGAAATTTAGGTCATGTTAAATTTATTATATACATACCCAGGTTGTTTGTACTAGTTAATACTCACCCACGCATCTATACAAGGATGTTATGTTACCTAAAGAAAGGTATACGTCAGGACAAGACGAACCGTCATTGCATTTGACGTCATTGGTTAACGCAATTTCTTCGTAGCCAGTTAATTTCGTACAATTCACGGTTTTTAAATCGCCAGATTCATGTCTAATCCATAAACAGGCTTGCATTGTACCGTAATTGAAAGTATGAATCTAAAAAATTAATACTGGGATACAGAAAACTGAAATAAAACTCGTGAGACTCTTAATTCAGATATTTTAAGTACGAACCGACAATTTCTGTAGGTTTCGTGTCCAATGCTTATGAATCCTATAAGTAACAGTTTTTGAAGGGCTTACATAATCTTCGAATTGTAGATTTCTCGAGTCATTCGAATTCAGCGGTGTGATGGATCTCAATGTTCGTGGAACTAAAAATTGAAAACAGAAAGGTTTTGCAAACTTGAATGATATTCATATCATATAATTAACTGAAACATTCAACGCACTTTCAAACGCATAATGCGAAATAAGTTTGATATTATTAGTACTTATCATATGGTCTTCATTGGACAGTACAAACGATTTGAATAAATTTTCGTTATATCGTGATACATAGTATATAAAATGTACGTCTGCAAAGTTGAATATGAAATATTATTATATGAATAATATTGATCTTCCTTACAGCCAATTTAAAAAAAATAATTACCCGGATGATTATGTTTTATTTCACGCAATGATGTTATTGCAGATTGTTGCTCATCATTGGACATAGATCCTAACGGAGTCAATAGTATAACTACTTGGCCAAGGTCTCCAATCCTTGCGTACTCTTGATTACGTTTCCAAACTTCATTCAAATGAGCAGATACCGTTTCCAAAACTCGCGTAAAATTTAATTTTGGCGACCCTGAATAATTTAGCAAATAAGATAGCTTTAACGAAAGTTATTTACCAGTTTTACTTAAGATACAATGAAGCATACACGAGGCGCTTAAGAAATTGTTTAATTCTTGATACGCTATCGATGGACTATTCGTAACATTCAACAACCACTCTCCCGATGTCCCGTGAATCACTCCCATTCGTGACCCGTACATTGATACATCTAAATCTTCTAATAGAGTTCTGTAACGCGTATTAGAAACAAATATTTGAATCAAGAGAATAATGTTAGTATGAATTATGACTTACGCGAGGAAATTTTTCGCGAATTCTTCGGACCATCCACCATCGAGTACCACCAACGCTTCCACTTGTGGTTCGTACGTTGGATGACACGATGACTCAGAGGACAAATGATTTTCTGTGTAGGTATAAAATTTCTTGGTGGCTACATTGACCATTCGTTCTAGCGCTTCGGGAGTAATGTATGCAATGCTTTTGCGATGAGCTAGCATTTGAGCTGTCGCGTAAGTCTATCGCAAACAATGCGCAAGAGTTGAAATAGAGCAAAATTTTCTTAAATCGTGGACAGATCAGGACGAACCTGTTCTCTTAAATCCGTCTTTGGTATTGCGTGAGAGAGCATGTGTTCTCGTTCGCAGGCTCTCAATTTCGCACTGAAAGTAATACCATCGTACGAATAGTACATAGAAAAAATTTGGCTAAGTCGAAGGCTGTACAAATCGTTGAGCCAAGTCTGCAAGTTCTTTGCAATGATCATGCCTGAAAACAAATGAGAATGATTAATGATGATAGAGGTGATTTTTAACAGACAGAAGGTGACTAATGACCATCGATGCCTCCCATCAGCTCGGCTCGAGTAGCTTCGAAATATTCTTTCTCATTCACGAGATAGTAGATATTCGGAAACTGAGTAGACCAGTGATACTCCCAAAATCCCATCGCGCCGAGAGTCATATTGTTACCCAGCAGAGGCCCTTGGAATAGTACTATTTCTGCTAATTCGCCTAATTGAACAGAATTCTCAATGTGTTAATGCCAAAAGAGAACATTAACTTTAACGCAATCAGCTTCTTTACCTGCGATCGTTGTCAACCATATGTTGTCGAGCTCCGCATTTGAAGTAATTAACTGATTGTACCACATGGATGGCTCGTGAATCATCTCACTCCGCGGGAGAACAAAATCAATCTCTTCTTCATCATATTTCCAATTGTATTTGTTATCCGTAGTGGTTTCTTCTAATCGAACAAGAAGAAGAAGAGAAACAAAATGCACCAGTAAGCAATTATAAGTGAAGCCTACTATATTTTAAAGTTTATACCCAGAAGATGTGCTTCTAAACTTGCAACTAACTGCTTTATAGAAACGTTTTGATGTTGAAGAGATGCAGCTATCGCTCCTATAAGAATGCCTGGAGCAACGGTGCCGTATGACGTTAATAAAACTCCTTCTTCCCTTGGACAACTCCGCAAACCTGTAAGCATTAATTATATTAATTTATTCTTCGTTGTGTTCATCGATTTAAATTAACATTCTTCATTAATATAATAGATACGCGTTTACGATTACTTGTTGTATTGTCAAATCGCGGACAGTTCATATCGTCAGGTTTTAAAATCGTGTTCGAGATGATCCGATGAAGCGTGCAACGTTCCTCTAGGGAAAGCACGTGAGCCGGAAGAATATTGGCATTCCCTGGAACCAAGTCCTCCATCAATGAATTTCGAACTCGTTGCATGCCAGTCGCGGCGAACGGAAGCACTCCGTTCGCGGATTGTACTTCCTTGTGATACTCGATGCCGTCAAATTTGAATCTATAATTTGACATATCTTGACCGTGTTGCAAATGAAATATTAAAGGTGAGAATCGTATGCACCCGTAGAACAACCTGTGCAATATTGACGATGTCATTGTTCTCATATCCACATTCGAGTCAGAATGTTTTTCCAGTTTGCGAAGTATGTCTACCAGAACCCGCAAGTTCATCGGAAGCGACGAGTTCGATATAGGATTGTTGCTATAACATTCTCTAAGTGATTGCGGTATAGCTGATTGCGACCATATTAATTGCAACTCTATTACATAAAAAAAGGATGAAACTCTCGTCCCGTTTTTTGTTAATAATCATTTTGTATAAATTGCATATTAATTACTTTGTGACGACTTACCGCAATATATTATTACCATTAAAATTTTATTATTAGCCATAATTTCAAACGAAACATCGAAAGTGCATCATGTATTATGAGAAATCTGACTAAACTCAATTCTGCCTCATCGATATCTTTTCAAATCTTTACAACGATTCACAATCTCGCGTTACGAATGAAAAAAGAAATCACCTTCTATATAAACCCTGATAAGATAATAACCGGTGGAAATATATTTAAAAAACGACTGTCGATGATTCTGTAATAAAATTGCCATTTCATTGGAAAGTATAAATTAGAATATACGCGACAAATGACGATCATTTGATTATGATTATGTTAATATACCAGTTAATTGTTTTTTAAATGGTTTTATAGGTCACGAAATTATCCCTTTGAAGAAGAAATGCCTGGAATAAGGCGGGGTACTATTACTCACGATGTATCATATTATCTTATCAGTTTAGCGATGATAGGTTTCACTATATCTCTGGATAGGTGTGGTATTATACTTTGTCGAATGAAGTCGTGGAGGTACAGCACATTCATTCAAAAGACTGACTGAAAATCGTTTGCAGTAAGTATTTAATCATTTTTTTGTGAGCTTAACAATCTTGAGCATATTTATTCATCGAGTGAAGAATTGAATGTTTTGAATACTTTTATAACATGTTATTTCGTGTTAATCTTTACCACCTCTTCTCTCTTCTCGAATCAGTTAATTAGTTTTAAGTATTTGCTTTTTATTTGGAATCCATAGGTGAGCAAGATGGCAAGATTTTTCTGTTTCTTTCTCCTGATCGTACTCGGTAAGTATGCTTTACAGTAATTAAGAAGTGATTGGTTTCGTAAATTGACAACGTCGTTTTTTTAGGTGTGTACGCACAGGAAAACGCGGATCAGATTTTATCGCCCTCCCTGCAAGAGTGTTACAAGGACAAATATCTGGTGCAAAGGGACAACAGACTGCCACATACATTGAACACGTTCCTCTCGATTCTTCGTAAAATCGAAAATGTCGACGGCCTCAACATGGATCTAAGAATGTTATCCGTTGCGCTCTTGCACCGGTAAGTTTGTCGCATCTTCGCAAAGATTCGAAATTGTCATTTCTTTTATTGAATATACAATCTTCTGTACAGTTTTCGACAAGATGGTATCAAGCGTTTTGCGGTTCGCGAGCAAGATGGAATCACGCCTTACGCGCCGGATAGACCTGAATTTTATCGTCACAGAATAACTCTGAAATATATACCAGGAAATGCTATAACGTTTCCTAATAATAGCATTACGGCTGTTGAAAGAGTATGTACGATATTTACTCTTCATCATCTCAAATCATTTTATTCGTTGTGATTGAATTAATATACTGTTAATAAATGAAACATTCTAAATCGTTACAGTGTACATTACACTTCATGTTATCGGACACCATCGAAGAGTACCAAAGAGGCGATGAAGGGAAGGTGTGCAAATCCTCCAGTCGGTATAGATACGCGAGAAACGCTAAGATAAAGAATAGTACGGACGTCGATGGTACTGCAGACGACGTGGAAACTTTTACACCCGCTGTAATGTAAGTAATGTGAAATGAAAATTACAGTTTAACTTATTTTAAGAAAAGCTATGCGAGAAACTATAACTCTTGCATTTAAAAAAATGTGATTCACGACAGAAAGAAAAATGAGAAAGATCCGAACACATTGTACCCGGATAAAGAACCTCTTACGGAGCCACCGCGGAGTAAATGTCCTGTGCAATCTGGTGTCGTGGAAACCCCGTAAGTGATGAATTTATCATATACAAGTAAAAAGAAAGTTTAATATATGTAAATATTTTCTACCATTCAGATGGGGTACAGCTTCTTTCGGATTAGTGCTCGCAGGAATAGCTGCGGGTACGCAACCGGAAGCGAGTACAGTTTACGATTTTCAACGATTAGTGCTAAGGGAAAACATAAACGAAACAGATAGAACGAAAGAGTCTGTACACAATGAGTGGTTTGCTACCCTCGCCGGTAATGATTGGACAGAGTGAATCGATAAACGATTTTGGAAGAGAAAAGTACATTTGCTGTAATTAACTAATATTACAGGAGACTTGGCTGAAGTAGCTTTAATACAAGGACCAACCTCAGGAGATCAGCTGTCCGTTGGTGTAGATGGTGTCTGGAATTCCACCGCTTTACCGCGGTGGTTTTTCTTGAATTCGGACGAGAATTTCGAAATGACAGCACCAGAAATTAGAGGAGATCTAGATGGTTTGATTTTGGCCAAAGAAATCAACAAGGGCTACAGTGTCAACAATAAACTGAGACTTTCGCAAATTTTTGATATGTATTACAGTCGGCAAGGATTCTTCGACTCTTCGATCACAGCATGCAATCGTAAAACATTATTCTCAGCCGTTGCCCCTAACGTAACAATGTCCAGCGAGGTAATAAAATTTTAATATTTTAACAAGACTTCCAATATAACTTCTTGATATTAATATTAATTTATTCATGTAGGCTTTCGGCGCTGCTATTTTGTTAAATAAGTACATAAAAACAAGCGGAACGATCGATCGTCCGCTAATTAAGAAATTTGCCATACAAGCAGTAAATGCTTTAGTATCATTCGTGCGTAAGTCTTAGCAACCTTTGAACATATCTATGTATGTACATGTTATTGTCAAATGGGAAAGAGATTATAGTTGATTCAATATTCTTATAGCTACAATGGACATTTACAATTTATGTGAAACTGAGAGATATAATTCGAATTCAATTTCCGCCGATTTGACGATCATTCTGGATACGAATTGGGAGTTTTCCCAGATAATACCTACCCTTGCAAATTTGTTGGAAAAGGTGGAGGTGAATCCATATAACACAAACTTCACATTAATAAACGGTCATGATGGGACCATTATGATCCACAGCACCTCCAGCATTCTGGACTTTTACTCTTATAATTCATCCTTTTACCAGAATTGTACGTAATGATACAGAGATCAACAATGGTTACCGAATTAGGATGATAATAAATTAAATTGTCGGTTTCAGTAACTAAAGGTTTCGATTTGCCCAAATCGCTGAAGCAATTGGAAGACTATCTGTTAAACAAGCTTGATAACGAACGCGATCGTGGTATTGCCGGTGCAAGATCCGACGTTGTGTTAATCATTCCACGAAGCAATGTATTATCTCCTAACGACAAAGAGTACTGTACACAGACTCTTTCGCGGTTACGAGAATCAGTCCCAGGTAAAGTACTACTGCAACATTGGCTTGGAACATTTATACATTAATTATACACGTACAATTCATTTTTAGATACGACTGTACTTATTGCAACATCTGGTTCTAAAGACATATGGTCAGATTTGGTACAACATTCTGAAACCGATTTATTTACTATTAGCGTTGGAGATACGCAAGAGAGTGCGCGTTCTATAGATAACGTGGTTGCAAGAATACAAGAGGGTATACAATATAAATATGATTTGAAGAAAAACTTGAAACAAATAGTAAAAAAAAGTTGAATAATGATAAATTGTGAAATGTTGCAGTTCCCAAGCGCTTGATTAATACCCAATGTGGATCGACTTTTAAATCATCCGGAACAAGCAACTCATACCAGGACTATATTTTACCAAATCAAGCTATTAATATCTATAAATTGGCTCCAAATTATTTTTATAACGGAGATAACACCGCAACGATAACTGTAAGGTTCATTTTATCTTAGAGTAGAAGTTAATGCTTGGTCCGCGTCACAAGTTATCGACTTGCAGATTAAAGTCTCTAGCTCGGATAATCTCGTCGTGTGTTCGGCACGGGAACCATTACGGCCCTATAATGATACGGTGCAGTCAAAATCGTGCGCATCAGTATTAAACGAAGGACACAGCATTACAGTCTCTTGCGCTGGTGCCTCTTACATATATAAATGTGCACCGCTATATATTTCGGTAACTTCAAACTCCACCTCTTCGTTCCAATGTACAGGTAAGTATATAAATTTGAATTTGTGTGATTTCAAAATGAGTGCTATTATTAATCGTTATTAATATTTTTCCAGATGCTCGAGTTTGTAGATATCCTAATATGATAAAGTACACCATATCCTACGAGAACCTGGTCTGCGCCAGTGACGCGACTAAAATCGCTGTTAATTCCTTTCTTTTAATGATAGTTTTAGTTTTCTTTAATCTATAATGACTAACAAATTTTACACAGTATAATACACTTAATTTCATTATTTCATGTAGTAACCGTTAGGAGTTGGAGTTCAAATTCATACTATTAACAATTAAACCTTTAGCTCGAAGAAATTTGCTCGTTATTTATAATTCGAATGTTAGACAACAGATCGCAATATAAAAATCATAAAAAAGTATTCACGCATTTTTATACGGAGGATTGAAAAAAGAAGATATGTATATAACTTTAAAAAATAATGTATTATCGCTTAAACAGGTACATTATGCTTCAAATAAAAGGTTTACAAAGCGTGACTGTGTGATCTATACCACAGGCAACCTTTTTCACTTGCGCCCCTACGTTTACCTGCAATATCATCTCTTATTGTCCCAATCCTTTAACAAAGAGTACAAAATGACCTTACCTTCAATGGAAAGTACTGATCTTTCGAATTCCCTAATCCTAATGATCCGAATTTATTGCAACCCCACATGTACAGATCACCCGTATTAGTTAAAGCTGCAAGATGACTCATGCCGCAAAATATCTTTACTACCTACGAAAAGAATACGCGTTAACATTTTATTTTTATTAATTCATTTTAAATCGACTTTACCTTCCTGTTCTTTTCGTACACGTTCGCTCCGAAGAGTACGGGCGGAATCTGGGTCGGTAGTGGGACCCTGTTGACTTCAGGTCCAAGTCCGAGGATACCGTATCCCCAAACGTAAACGTGACCTGTGTCTAATGATCGCTCGTGTTCGAATTATTTAAGCGTATATTACGCAGAACAAACGCGGGATAAGAGACTTACTATTTAAGACCATACAAAAGCAACCACCGCAGGCGATATCTACGATGTGACCTAATTCCTTCAACGCGCTGATCTCCGTAGCTATGTTCACCTGTTGATTTTCACCCTCCATGAATAACTGTCCATACTCTGAGTTACCCCAACCGAATATCTTCCCTTTGTCTAAAAATGAAAATCTCGAATAATCAGAGGGCACGCAGTTACCACATGGCTTAATGCGAAATAATATTATGCAATTTATAGTGGTATTAATACATGAATGTTGCAGATACCGCTGAGAGCTAATACACAGTCTGCGATACACGCAACTTTAATAATATGCTGCCCGGCTAAATCTCCTTTCACCAAACTGGGCCTATGCTCATTCCGATAATGCGCCAATCCAGTTTGTCCATCCGCTCCCCAACCGAATGTATAGACCTCACCGGATTCTGTCAAGAGTATGCTATCATATAGCAATAAGGGAGAAGTTTCAAATATTGCATCGAGTTGTCCTATGTGTATCAGGAATTTCCATACCTATGATCTTGGCCAGCCGTTACAGCCTTAATTTGTTTTCCCTTGATGTTGGGTATATGATGAACAACTCTACTTCTCTCATAATTTTCGTTCATTATAATAGGACGACCGCATTGGCCATATGCATTATTCCCTAATGTGAATACACCTTCGTTCGTTAATACCAATAAGTGTGCTCTGCCTGCAGACATATTTATGACCTTAGTAGAAGCATCTTTGATTGGTAAATTGATCAGCCTTGGTTCGATTATCAAACCATTACGAAATTTTTTGTCTATCTCATTGAAACCTATGCACCAAAAATGGAATCTTTAATATTAATTCATAAAAGACTTGATGAAATACTATTAAATGTGTTTAAATACCAAGTTGGGAATCTGTATTTATTCCACTTCCATACAAAATATTTTTATCATTAGATCTGACGGCAAAAGCAGTGAAACCGTAACCACACGTTATATCTGTTACATCAAGCTTTTCTCCAAAAGCTAATCTCTTTGGCTTTGGAATATATGCAATACCATCTTCAAATGTTGTCGACTTCAATGTTCCAAGAGCACCATGGTCTGCCATACCCCAAACATATACCCTGTGATCTCGTTCATTACTTATTGGATACTGAAAAACTACAGAAACAGATTTAGGAAAACCAGTTAGAAAAGTAGCATAAGCAATGAAACATTTATTCAGTAAAACATATAGCATTAACGTTTCTCATAAATTTGCATGATTTCTAGGCGGCAGCTACTTTTATCTTACCTGGTAAATTTTTTGCAAGCGGTTTCGTGCTCTCGATTTTATTAAATTGTATAATCCTACTCGATTTCTGTACATTGTTCTTCAAACATGTTTTCAGTGTATTTAACATGGTTATTACGTTTCAGACTTTTGCCGTTTAACAAATTTACGTTCCGGATAAATTTCGTTCAAGATCAGAGGCCTGAGACTTTTGTAATCTGACATTGATCAAATCGAATTTATAATGAAAATTGCTTTAATTGTACGGTTTCGTGTTTGTGATTTTCTCGTTTCTTTCAAACCTCTGTCTGTGCCTCTGTCCCGAAAGACTAAAGGCTGTATCACATGTATCCATGTCAACATCTTCTGTGGGGATGATGGTATATGAACAGGTATCATTTTATCAATCCAAAAAGAAAAATAGTGTTCACTAAAAAGGGATTTGAAGTTCAACAAAAAATTTGTGGACAGGGAAAATATCGATTCCTAATAATTATATGATAAATTTTATTTATTTATAAGATACAAGAAAATATTTCGCAGGTTAAACAATCATTTCAAGTTCTCTCGCGTAGTCAATGGCTAATGTAGCCAGATCAGCACTGGGTATTGGTTCTTCGGTTTTCTTTTCGCTGGTTGTACTAAAGTAGAAATAACCATCCTTTTCTAACTTCCAATTTTTCTTTGAGGCAAACGCTTTTACTTCCTTCTCTGAGTTCAAATTCAACATCCTCAATGCATCTTGAATAGAAATTTTGTCATATGCACTCTCCAAGCATGCTCCAATCTCGTCACGAATAGTGTTTAATAAAATGTCTATGAAAAAATTATATGATGCTGCTGGTACATTGCCTTTTGCCAAGAATATCTTGTTGTATGAACCTTCCATTAAATATTGTTCTAAACTCAAAGGATGTCTAATGTAAACATTTGATTGTATTTGATCAGAGGGCAATAATTCTAATTCTGTGTGAAATTCAGCGACACGATTCTGAGACAATAAGAACAAGAGATTTAAGCCCAGGAGATGATATTTATATGCAGACTCCATTAATCCTGACTTATAATCAAAGTAGTAACATTTCAACTGTGCCATGTAACGTTCGAAAGAAGGTATGTCTTCTGTTACTATGCTCCATTGTGCACCAATTTCTAGAATGTCACCTACAGTAATAAAAGTTTTATTCACGTATGTATCAAATAACGAAAGACAACTTTAGCAACACTCAGTCGAAGATATTCTGATTATACTTACGAGCTATGAGTAATTCATTTTGACTTGCTGTACTGTTAGATGTCGGAAGAAACATTAGATGTGTGAGGCCAATCTGCGAAAATTAAAAGTTCTAATATTTATATTTGTTAGAGTACGATGACAATTCACTTTTGACAGAAAACATGAATCAAGGTTACTTTTTACGTTCCAAATATTACGGATAAGACTGAATGACCAAGAAATCAACAACTATGTCAAAGATTACCTTTAACTGATTCAGCAGTTCACCGCATTTTTTCAAATTACACGGGGTTGCTGCCCATTCTTCTTTTAAATTTTTATACAGGGGAACAACATCCTTCAATGCAGCCATTTTTTAGACATACTGTTCAGTCATAGAATATCCATATCGTAGACAAGGAATTTGCAAAAATATATACGTGCATTTAAAATTTTATATAGTAAAATAATTTTATCTGTTTATGTGTAAATATTTCAAATTGAAGAAAGGGAGGAGTACTATATCCTAAGCTAAGTGATACTGCTTGTACCCGAGTACAAAAATATATTATTCTATCTTGCAGTTTCTGTGTTCATTTAAGTTTATTTAAAATGTATTTTTATTATTTCATTATTTTAACATCGGATTCTAATGTTTAAAAATATTCATTTCTACTTATTAGGAATTTGATCAAAAATATATATATGTACGTAAATGTAAATGATTCGTGAATTGCGGCTGCGTCTTAAGGATAGCTGGCTATTATCGTGCAAAGACTTCATGCCACTCGAGAGAAACGATCTTTACCGGCCTTCAACTTCCTCTTCCCGTAGCTGGATATAATGGCGTCTGGAGTAAGTGTTTTTCGTACAATTCGAACCGTGAAACATCGACGCTATGATAAACTGACGAGGAAATAGCTGTTAACTGAAACGGTATTTAACGTGTATACCAGCTAACGATGCGTCGATTTATTTCAGACACTTTACACGTACCCTGAAAACTTCAGAGCCTACAAGGTGCTCATTGCAGCTCAATTTTCCGGTGCTCAGATCAAGATCGCGGATGATTTTGTTTTCGGTGAAACAAATAAAACTGAAGCCTTCTTGAAGAAGTTCCCGTTGGGCAAGGTAAGCTTATCTGTTCACTTGCACTTCTGTCCTCATTTGTTCGCATGTTATTTCGAGAGACCAGATGGCATGTTTTTTATGAGTAACCACGTCGTGTTCTATCGTAAAATAAATGTCCATTTATCAATGGATTCAACCACACGGTTTCTGTTTACATTAGGTCCCAGCATTTGAAACATGCGATGGAAAATGTATTACAGAAAGCAATGCAATTGCTTACTATGGTAAGAATCAGGATTGTATGACATTTATATTGTCTAGGCGATTACTGATAGTGTTTATTGTAAATTATCTTTTCATTTTGTAGTTGCCAATGATCAGTTGAGAGGTAAAACTGACCTGGAACGCGCAGAAATTATCCAATGGTTCGGCTTCGCAGATTCTGAAATTCTTCCAGCCAGTTGTGCATGGGTGTTTCCATTGCTTGGAATCATGCCATACAACAAGCAGGTATGAATAAAAATATATTTTTACGAATCCTCCTTCAAAGGCAAAAATAATTAAATGCTGTAATTAATTTTGTAACTCAAGGAGGTATATAAATACATAGCATATTGTATTAAAAATGCACATAGTGTTCATATGTGTTAAGCAAAGTGCATACAGACAAAAATTCATTTTGTAACAGTTTTCTTTCAGTTTCAAACAAATAATTTCGCTATTTGAAATTGCAGAATGTAGAACACGCTAAGGATGATGTAAAGAAAGCATTGATTGCCCTTAATTCTCATCTGCTTACACGTACTTATTTGGTTGGAGAACGACTGACATTAGCGGACATTAGTGTAGCCATGACATTATTACATTTGTATCAATATATTTTGGAACCGAACCTACGTAAACAGTATCAGAATGTGAATCGATGGTTTCAAACTGTCATTCATCAGCCTGAGTCAATGGCTGTAATCGGTGCCTTCAAATTGGCTGAGAAAACTCTCGAGTATGATCCAAAGAAGTTCGCGGAAACTCAAGGAAAAGTTAGTAACATTTGTTCTCCTTAAAAGGAAACGTATTTCGTGTTATAGTAGTCTATTTAAAATATTCACAGTCCTCGAAGAAAGAAAAGAAGGAGAAAGAGTCTAAGAAAGAAAAAGAACCTAAGGAACCAAAAGAATCCAAGAAGGAGAAGGAGACCGTTGAGGAGTTGGACCCGGCAGAAGCCGCTTTAGCCGCTGAACCTAAAACTACAAATCCTTTTGATACATTACCTAAAGGCAGTTTCGATCTGGACGACTTTAAGAGATTTTACTCTAACGAAGACGAAGCCAAATCCATACCTTACTTCTGGCAAAAGTTTGATCCCGAAAACTATAGTATTTGGCTTGGTGAATACAAATATAACAATGAATTAACAAAGGTAATTAACTGTCAGATTGATAATAAAACGTTGAATTCGAAATTTATTCCAGTATATGCATTATTTGTTTCACATAGGTTTTCATGTCTTGCAATCTTATAAGTGGAATGTATCAACGATTAGACAAAATGCGGAAGGACGCATTTGCCAGCGCTTGTCTATTTGGTACAGATAACGACAGTAGCATCAGTGGTATTTGGGTTTGGCGTGGACAAGAGCTTGCTTTCACGGTTGGTTCTCATTGATATTTAGTATTTTCTCGTAATCTTGCATATTACGATTAACGATTTATGTTCTTTTTCGAACAGCTGTGCCCAGATTGGCAAATAGATTACGAATCGTACAGTTGGAATAAATTAGACCCAACTAAAGAAGAAACTAAGGAACTGGTTCAGCAGTACTTCAGTTGGACCGGTACCGACAAGGAAGGACGTAAATTTAATCAGGGAAAAATTTTCAAGTAAAACTTTGCCATATGCTTATTATTAAACAGAACACTTTGTTCGCATGAAATAAATATAAAAAAAACAACAAAAAAGCTAATGAGATATTATCAAAGTTTACGTGTAAACCCTTAGTATCCTGCATTGAATAGGATAATTTTCAGAAAACGAAATCGAATGTTCCTCTTTTTTTTTAGGTCTTTGTTACGTGATTTGATGCTTTTAATTTATAAGTTTTTTTGTCACGTTCGAAACTCGAAATAGTTTTTACACACTGTTTTATATATAAGTTGTCATATGGTATTTGGATTTGTTTTAACATTGTATGAACATCATTAATTTTTAAAAATCTATGCACTACTTATGACATAGCATTTGTTTTGGCATGCACATTTACAGAAATTTCGCTTTCATACAATTCTCTATTAGATTATGTAATTTATACATATCGCTTTTAATATATGTCGTCAACGAGAGAAAATAATTTAATAGATTTAAGAAGTTACTTTGTTCATCTGTTATTGTTTAATAAGGAAGCATATAGCATGATTTTTTTTATAGGAACATCGACATAGTATAAACATCTATTTAAATATGCTATGTTCATAATAATTCATCTTCCATATGCTAGTTGTGTGGACTATAATTTTAAATGCATATTTTTACAAAAATGGTGTTGTTGATTCTTTAAGTATCAGAGTAATACAAATATTAAATTATTTATTTTGGGAGTTCAACAAATAATTACAACAAAACAAACTGTACATCCTTTTACATTATAAAAACATTCACTCTTGGGATACTACATTATTTAAAACCCTTTCTCGTCCATCCACCGTTTAACTAGATTCACATAATCTCCTCTGAACTTTATTATACCGGCAAGTTCATTTGTACGAATTCCTATAGGTTTATTCACATGTTCTTTTATGTATTTCTTCAATTCAGCTTCCAATGCCCAGATATCTCCATGAATCTTTCGAACCTCGGTTACTTTGCGTAAACCACGATGACCAATTTCGAGATAAACTGGTTGCATGTAGTTTTTCGTACGTTCTATGAAGTATGGATAATCGTGTGGCTTGGCTATTATTAACAAGATTCATTGTAAGAAAACATAAAAATGATCTTAAGTGTATAGTGTAACGAACTTACAAACTGGCGGTTTCCATCCTGATGGATATTCTTTATTATCCATGCAAGGTGTAGGTATTGCCTTGGGTTTAAGTAAGCGTTCCACATATTCCCATTCTTTTGGGTCTGTCGTTACTTCATAATCTGTATATTTTGATGGATCTAAATATTTCGGCGACGTTCTGTAGCTGCCCCATCTTTTCTGTACCTAACACAAACAAAAGTACGTTTTACAATTTCAATATTTCTTTTTGTCAAATGTTACTACGCGGAATGGCAATTATACATTTAAAGTAAAGTAGTTTACCTTGTCTGTTCGTTTACATGAATCTTTGTGGTTATATAGCCAATCAAATATGTAAACACAAGTTGTATGAAAAGTACTACTTTTCTTTACAATATATCATCGTGATTATAATTTTTATGAAAAACAATAAAATTGTTCTACATTTATTATTGATAGACTATGGCGTACGTTTCATTTTATACCGTTTTTAAAGTTCTAATTTACATTGCGGTGTACAAGTTATTTATCGACATTAATGTATTGGACTTCTATTTTGCCAATCAATGAGAAATTTCATAATCAGAAATTCATCCGTATATAGATTCTACGTAACAAGCAAAAAAGGAATGAAATTTCTCCAAATGAAATAAAAATGAGTGTCGCAAATATGAATAGCCCTTCGTCACTTTATCTCGAAAGTGATCATCATGAAAATCATCTTTCCGATCGTCAATCTCTCAGACTGAATGAAAAATAGATTTGTAAAGCAACATACGGCTTACCTGCGTAATAATAGGCAAGACTCCATTCAATGAATCAAGCTCCAGAGAGGATCGTAGAATAATAGCCGAAAGTTTCGGACGTGTAAAAAGCCGAAGGGCAGCCATTTTGACTTCAGTAAATAAGGGTCGGTGGCCGCCATTGGTGCGCACGGGCGCGTCTTCCTTTTCGTTCTCGTGCCAGACCGAGTTCTTTCTCGCGACGAGTCTGTATTCCTGTCATTTTTCGTTCTCCCAAGAAACTTTGCCTCGTTCGGCCGCGATTCCGATAGGTGAACTCATCGTTAGGCGATCGTGATAACGTAAAATCTGACAAATAACGCGGGGTTAGTTATCGCGAATACTCTATAGATTTCGAAGTGCCGCGTTGCTACGAATTTTGCTGGAGGTTTCGTCGCGGCACGGACGGATCGCTCAGGACTATTTTCTCGCTCGCCAGTAAGTAAAAGTTCCTCATTCAGCGAACGTGTCGGAAATAACGGCTCGCGTAAAGCGAGAGGGGTTGAAATTTGTTGAAATAACGTGAAGAATTAGTGCGAACGGATTATGGACCTGGGAGAGGTCGTGTGCTCTACCGTCAGGTGGCGGTAGCCTCAAAACAGTGGGACATCGTACAGACACCCTGCAACGGGATCGTGTTTTTCACAGAATTGTTTTCCGCGTTTTCCCGCAGAAACCACGCTCCTCAACGGTGATTTTTCGCCTCAGAGGTAAGTACGATCGTTGAATCGAGTAATGGGAGTGTAAATTCGACCGACGTATCCCGGCTAGCCGTGCACTAAGCCTCGGAAATCTTAAATCGGCCCCGACCTTTTGTTTATTCGTGGCGATTTTTTCGCGATGATTTGTTGCGCGATTTTCATTAGTATTCGCTTGGCCAACCCCCGATTTTCGCGTTAGTGAGTTATCGTGTGACGTGTACTTTCTTTCGGTGCTAAATTTGTCAGGATCGGGCGCGCGATCGCCGAGATATCGCGATAAATATTTCGAAGCGATTCCCCGACCAAGAAGAGTCGCTCCGTTGTATCCGTGTAAATGCAAAGTTTGTCACGTAATTTTTCTGACCGCCAGGGCCGCATCTATCAACCCCACTATCCGGCCGGCCGCTCACCTCTACTCACACCTAAGACGAATTATGTAGTTTTTCCGATTGCTGTATACTCAATTCGTTCGTTCCTGTCTTGCTTATAAGAGGAAAGGTACATTTTTTCTTTAATTACAATTTAACAATCCCACGTTCGCCATACACTATATTCTTTCAAAAATGCGGAGTTCGTTTTCGTGTCGGACGGCTACCGCTATAGCCGATTTTTTCTCCGTTATACGAGTATATACTTCGATAGAATTTTTTCAGAACGTAATACACGAATAAATTAAAATTTTTCATTCAAATTTTCAAATGCGAATTGTTTTATTGATAGGAAAATTGACAAATTGCTTTGAACACCACGATGATGGTAATAATTACCATACGGTCAGTTCGTGGTTTGCAATTTCATATTATGAATGAAATTGCAGGAGCCCAATGTGGGTGGAAGTGAGATGGCATCCAGGGAAAAGAAACCCTTAGCGCCTTCCAAAGCAAAACAGAAGGCGACGAATGATTCTGGCTCGCCAATGAATGAAATAAAAAACAGAAAAGGCAAGCCTTTGTCGAATCTAAAGCAACAGCAACTTGCACAAGACATATTGGAGGCTGTGGCAACTGGTAGCCAGCTTCCTCCTAAATTAGAGGCAACCGTGCCTCGTAAGAAGGTACTCAAGACGCTTAAACGCAAACAGAAGTTGAGAGTAGCGAAAGTAAACTTAATAAAATCGAAAGTCACAAGGAAGGTGGCTAATAGGAACTTGTGCAGAATACCTTCTGACATTAAGAAGGGTGTAAGGTCCAGGAGAATCAAATTAGCCGAAGAGAATAATCCTAGAAGTTTAGAAAACCACGTAATCGACACGGAAAACGAAAGTATAGATACGGAAGGAGGTAATAGAAGTGCCAAGACCAATCTCAGGACTAAAAAGACCAAGGGTGTACCAAAAACTAGCGCAGAAGTAGAAAACGAAGATATTTTGGATAAAGACACAGGTTTGGTTGCCGGATCCAGTACCAAGAGCAGCCCAAAACTTGGTAGAAAGGGTAGGACTTTGGATAGTTCTGACTCTTTGCCAAAAAGTGTCAAATCTGGGAAATTTTCGGGATTCAGGAGGAACAATCTTAAGGAAAAGGATACTTGTATAAAGACAGAGCTTGATATCAAGTATACAAAGGGAAGGAAGAGTACACGAGACGTAGATTACGGCAATACTAGAATATCGAAATCGTTTTTGAATAGTAGGAGTTCCATAGAGATCACCATAGACGAAGTGATAGCTTCAATGTTGAGCGATTCGGAGGCAGAAAACCAGCAAGACATAACTGAGAAAATAGAAGGAAAGGTGACAAGAAGTAAGAAGATGTTAGTAGAAGAGAATAATACAAATCCAGATATAGAAATAAAGAAAGAACCAGACAGCGAGGACGCTAAAATTATCTCGGACGGGGAGAATCCGGAAACGGAATCTTCCATTCAAAATGCGATTCAATTGAGAAAGCGATCGAACGCGTCGACGATTAGTCAAAGAAGCTTGAGGAACGGGAAGCTACGGCAATCGGAATCCGACGTTTCCACCGAATCGGAACTTAAAAAAGGTCGACGATTGAATTCGGACGATCCCGTCAATTCGGAGGTTTCCATGGACAATATTACTGACACCAATATCGATACGGAATCTAGCTTCTCCGAATCCAGCGGCAATGACACTCAAATCATCACACTACCGGTCAAAGATGAAACTACTTGCATGAAGCATGAGAACTTGACCAATTTCGAAGATAATTTTCAGGCTGGTTTAGAAGTAGAGAATAATAATAACGGAGACAGAGTGGCCGATAGGGGCACCGAGATGGGGCCAACGCTTCGTTCGAAAACGAAAGCGAAAAGTATAGATGAAACGAAAACCGACAATATTAAACTTGAATGTGGAAGAATATCAGGTAAAAACTCGGATGTGCAGGAGGAACCGAAGAAGGCGAGCAGTGTGGATCAAGTTAGAAAAGACAATATTTTGGCTAAACTTTCGGACAAGTCGAAGGGTCGAAGGAGCAGTTTGAACATAGATATGAAGAAGACGGTGAATTCATTTTACAGTACGGAAAAGTCCGACGGTAACCCGAAGTCTCAGATAGATCAGATGATAGAAAATATCAAGTTGACGATCGCCAAGTCTATCGAGAGTAAAATTTTCGGTCCGGAGAAGGGCCGCGGTTTGACCAAGAATTTCGACGTACCAAAAATGGAAGAGATAATCGCGCCGTTGAGTGCAGAGTCGCAGAAACTGGGATTGGAGGAGAATACAGACGAGGACAAGTCTGCCATTTCGAAGAACGAGATCAAATCGGAAAGCACGGAGAATTCGATACCGAAAGTGGCTGATACTGCCAAAGAAATCGAGAAACTAGTCATGGGTGATATCGAATTAGCTGAAACTCATTCGCAGAACGTGCAGGAGAGCGAGTCTTCCGATGCCGACGCGAACGAGAACGCTCGCAATGTTTCGGAAGTCAAACATTCTACTGAAAATAACGGTGGCGATTGCAAACCCGTGGAACAGCAAGAGGGAGAATGCAGCGAGGCTCGTGATGCAGCGGAAGAGTCCGAAAAACCTGACCAAGATGATCAACAAATTGTGGATGATGCTAAGAAGATCCTACCTACGAGAAGATCTCCGAGGATAACCGATAAAACTTCTTCCGAAAATGGCGAGACTAAGAAGTCAACTAAGCCAATAAATAAAACAGCTGAAAAGTCTGAAAATTGTGAAGACTCTTCGGACAACGCATCTGATAAAGTTGAAGAAACCGCTTCGAATCAGGACGATACGCTCGAAAACGAATTAACGAACAAATCGGCTGTTTCAGAGATTTCGATGGCTAGCACAATGGTCACGTCTGATAAAGTTACAGATACCGTAGAAACAGAAGCAAAAATGAATAAAACAAATAAAGAAGAGATTAAAGTCTCTTCAGCCGATATCGTGGAATCGGACGAAGTAGAAACGTTGGAGAGTATCTCTAAAGAGGTAGAACGTTTGGTAGCAGAGGAACATTGTAACGATCAACCGAAGACGAACACGAAAGAAACACAAGACGATGTATCAAGCAAGGATACTGAGAAACAGGAAGCTATCTCTGTTAACACGAAGGAATCGGAAGAGTCAGTAGAGGTAGCAACGAATGCCAAAGATGTTGAGGAATTCACGGAGACTGTATGCGGAGCAATACAAGACTCGAAGAAAAACAAGAATAATTGTCAATCGACGACTGCCACCGAGTCGAACTCTAAAGAGAACTCAGTTCCTAGCGACGTGTGCTGTTCTACTGAGGACAAGAAAAAAGATGTGATTGATACGAAGGACCTCAAACGTCAAAATAACGATATCGATAAAGAGGAAAATAAATTGATTTCGAATAACGATTTGGAGCACAACGAATCAACTGTAACGGAAGATGAAACGGAGAAATCGGTAGAGGAACAAAAGTCAACCGGTGACGATGGTAAGAAACGTGTATTAAGGGCTCGCGACAAGACGAAAAAGCTCGAAAAGGGATCAACTTCACATAGCAAAGAACGGAACGAGTGTTGGCCGAAGGTTAAAGTGGAAGAAGATATTAGCCAGAAAATGCAGAGCGAGGAGGACACGCAAAATTCAGACAAGAAACCTCACGAGTTGAACACGGAGGACATAGACGATACCCAGAATAGCATGGAGTTTGATTCAAACGACACCGAGCGTCAAGCTCGTACCAGACGTGGTAGGGATGCGAAGAAACGCAAAGAAGATCACCTTATCAATCTGAGGAACAAGCGACCGAAGCGAGAGATTCGGAAGACCGATCAGCAGAACAAGGAGGAAACATTGTTGGACAACGAGGTGGCTAAAATCAACGAGAACAATCGATCCCTTTTAGACAAATACGGGAACGAGGCGGTAGAATGTGAGACGACGTTCCGAGGTTTTTCGGAGGGTAGCAGACGAAAGCTGGAAAAACGTCAGGACACTAAAGACAACGCGCGAAGCAAGTCGGAGAACGACTTGGTTATTGACAAAGAGCCTGGCAAAGGAAAAGGTGAAAATAGATTCTTACGAAACTTATCCGAAAACCCCATGACCAAACAAGAGAATATGGATATATTAGACGCCGATTGCAAGCCGGTGAAGACGCCAGAGACGTCACAGAAAGATTCCGATGAGACGTCAACCTCCGGCGAGTCGTCCAGCAGCGTGAATGTCACACCGAAAATATTGGAAACGCCCGAAGACAAGGTGAAAAAAGAATCGATACTGAGACTGCTCGGTTTGGAGACCTTAGAGAAGGCCGCCGAGAGACTGAGCCACCAAAGAGCGAAGAAGGAACAATACACGGGCACCCTGAAGACCGTGATTCGTCTGCAAAAGGAGAAAGACAAGGATAAGAGACGATCGAGGTCGCCGTTGAAAATGGTGTTGAAGCAGGGTCGTGGAGACGGAGAAGGGGATTCGCTTGAGAACTTTTACACTATTCAGAAGGAGGTGAGCGTCCTTAATGTTGATACAAATCCAATGAAAAAGAATTTGATCGAAAAGTCGACTCTATTTTCTTTGTTTGTTTTCGTTTTTCAGTTTGGAAGCAGTGGTTGGGGAGATAGCAGCTCTGGTGCGAACCGAAAGTTCTCTACTAACCACAGACACTCTTGCGGTAATCCTGGTTGCGGGAATAACTACATTCTTAATCGTTCCCTGTCCTTATGCTTTGTCAGTACACACATCCTTGTCTCCTTAGTCAAATCTTTGTCGAAAGAATCGCTTGATACTTTATTTTTAACGAATTCGGCTGTCACGGTACGATTATCATCTTTGAACATGATCTTATTTGCTGTTCAATATCAAGCCATTCTCTCTTTCTTGTTCGTGGATCATTCCCGACGAATCCCGCAAGTCGTTCATTCGTAACAACTGTACGATTTTCTTTAACAAGCATGCCGTTTCTCTGCTGCCGCTTCGAATACCACCAATTACATTTCACTCTTTAGCTCTCCAATTATCTTCCAATTAAACCAACCTTACTTCAATTCGAAATACCAGCTCGAAACATCCATTTCTATTTATTCCTCCTACATCACATAGTAAACGGGAATATCGTTTGTTCACCGTAGACGAAGACAATGAAGAAACGCCGTCAAAGGATCGCCAATCTCTGGTCATTCCGGAGAAATCCTCCTCTTTCTCCATCCATCCTGGACGGTTGTGCGCGGACGTGTGTTGCTACTGTTTCGGCAAGTTCGGCTCCCTCGACACACCGATGCACCTCGCTCAGATGAAATCCGACGAAAGAAGAAAAAAGATACTGCACATAGAAAGGCATTTGACCAACGACTCTTGTTTATGCGACGCTTGTTATCGTCATGTGGACAGGAAGGTGAGACAGTTTCCTCTATAAATCGGTCTGCAATGAATTTTGTACAGCCTCTAAGAATGTATGAATTGCATTGATGTTCAGGCAAACACGAGCCCCACAAACATGCAAGCAAAACCACAGAAACAACATAGACAATTGATGGTGCCCAAATGCACGGCCCGCAATTGCAGAGACGATGGTCGACACCACGTAAAACGTCGATGGTTGCTCAAGATAAAGGCTGGTCTGCAGAAAGAGGTAAGTCACGCTTTTTCCATCGTACGTCTAAGAAATCTCTACATCCATGGGCACGTCTACAGGTGGACATTGATTGGGAATCGAGTCAACATACGTCCATGTCATTCTGCGTCAGTCACTATTCGAAAATTGAACGATTCTTGACCTGTGCACTATGCAAACGCCGATTGGCGAGAAATCATGCTCATCATTTGGCGAACGCGGAGACCACCGAGTTGAACCAGCTGCTCGGGCAACAGAGGATCCCCGTAGTCTTGGCTGCGGGTACTTTCGTTTGCAAGTTGTGCCGTTATTTCACGCAACTGCAGCTGAAGTATAAGGATGTGGAGAACATGAATATGAATCACAGATCGTTCTTTAAGAGTTACCGGAAAAGGTACGGTCCCTACCTATGTGATTAAGAAGGTCTATGAGTGTTCATTTTTTTAAATTCTGGCCCCATGTTCATTTCAGAGTTCTACACTATCACGATATCGAGGTTCCCGAGAACGAAGACGATGACTCCCCACAAAATTCATCGACCAAGGACAAAGACAAAGACAAGGACAAACGGAAGAAGATTAAATGTTCTACATTGTCGAAGACCAGCACTTCCAAATCCTCGGATGATACTACGAACTCCGTGTCAGAAAAGTCCACTCCAGAACCTAACAAGAATGAGAGGACTAACCCGGAAACGGAGAACGAAAACCGTACCGCGAAAGCAAGCTCCAATTCAAACGATGAGAACGCCGCAACGGACGTGCAGTTTATCAGTATAGAAAACACCATTGACAAGCTTAAGAAACGTAAGATGCTCGACATGCATTTGTACACGACACCGGACGTACCGGGACCTTGCGAGAGTCCTAGCGAGGTGGTGGAGATTCTCGCGATGGACAAGGAGGTGACCCTAACCAGATTGCCAAAGAGACCGAGAACGAGCAACGATATCAATCCTGTCGTGCAGAGACTCGGTGCTAATCCTTCTATTAGTGTGCGCACCTTGTTCCCCGGTGAGGAGGAAATGAACCTCCACGCTAACATAGAGTTCACTAATGTTCGTGAAATAACGCCACAAGGTTGGGAGAAGTGTGCCACCATGATACAGTACGACAGAGACACGAAGTTACTATGGCAGGAGTTGCAGAGACCTTACGGCAATCAGAGCTCGTTCCTCCGACATCTGATACTTCTCGAAAAGTATTACAGATCGGGCGACTTGATCTTGGCTCCGAATGCATCGCGGAATGCGATCAATTACTCGACTTCCGTACAGAATCGGTTGATATCGTACGAGGGCCCTGAAAAGATGGACGAGCCAATAATGGAACCGATGGCCTCGGAGTATCACAACTCCCGTCGGATGAGCGGCGGTTTCGTGTTTGAGAGAGACAAGCACTCCTCGGGTAGCAGTACTCCCAAGCCGTCTACGGTACAATCTGCGAAAGGCAGTCCTCCGAGGGCGTTGAAACTGAATCCGGGTGTATCGATAATCAAGAAACCGCCACCTAATCTCCAACGATTGAATCTTCCGTCTACCAGTGCTGCCGCTACCACCACCGCCAATGGTACCGTGAAACGGAAGGATGGTCAAAAATTGCCACCCACTGCCGGCGGTAAAGTATTCCAATTGAGTGAGTCCGATTTCAAACGACTGCAACATTTGAAGAAACAAAAACAGCAGTTGCACACGGAGAAGCAGTCTAGCAGTTCGAGCAGCGGCGTGAGCAACTCGGTTTCGCAGGTGAATTTAAAGTCGGCCACGCAGTTCCAGAAAGCGCAGATCGCTGCGCACACGCAATTCCAGAAGCACTTAAGGATGCAACAGGAGATGTTGAACCGGCAAAGCAGAAGTGACTTCGAGCCATTGATCTGTGACGTTCGCGCGCTGGCCAACGAAAACAGCCCGACGCAAAATGTGATTCACAATCTGAATTTGCCGAAGTCGATTCAAGTGACGACCAAGACGTCTAACCAGATCCCTATTTTGCCAAAAATTCCCAAGTCGTTGACGGTGATACCGCAGACGATCACCAGACCGGCGGACAAATGAGGCAGGCGTACGAAAATTGGGATGAACAGTAAGTAAACAAAACGTGTAGATGTTCATTTTCTTTAAACGAGAGTGTCAAAACAGTAGGGAGAACGTACGTAGAGAGTGTCGAGAGTGACGCTCTGTATACGATCATAGAGATTATTTCGGTCGAATGATCGGTAAGGGCTTCGAGAGCTCGTCGTGAAGAGCGACTCTACGTCTGTCTTATACCTATAGAAAGAACAACCGCGTTCGCGAAAAACTGCGTTTTTCAATGTAAAACGATGTACGGTGACATGTTGAATACTACTACGCGCCTACGTACGCATCGTGATACATAATAGCGTGTTAGACAAGCGTTTTGGGAAAAAAAACGGGAGATCACAACCACTGTATTTTACATTGACAACCAAAGTATCGGTGTAAGAGAAAACACAAACGATGAAACACGGTAGAGATTGTTTCCAAGGAGAAGTGCCTAAAAAAAACGTACGACACGAACGAAGTCGTTAGTTTTTAAAATGATGGAGATCTAATACGTTGAATGAACTGTATTCACACACTATACGTATAGTTAAATATATAAATATATAAGTATACACGAGTAAGGGGAAAAAAGGAAGGAAATAGAAGGATTGTTAAAGAGCAGAAGGAAAGGGGGGCGTGTATATACCGTGAAAGTTCGTATGCCGAGTTTCCATTTCGCCCTCTTTCTCTTCTACGCGTTCAATAATATATTCTCTTCTACAGAATAACGTAAATAAAAGATAAGAATAACGTTACTGAAGAAACGCCGTTCCTCCTCGAGTTCTTCACGAGATCGAACGGAAGAGCGCGTCTCCAATGAACGAGTCGAAGGGGGTAACGCTGATTTTTGCCTTGCTGTTAAAATAAAAAGATGGTTCACTGCTAGAGACATATCTATTGCGTGCGTTCTTCGGGATTTCGGAGCCTCGAGGTCTCGCAAAGATCGACGACAAGCCTCGAAGACAAGAATTTGAAAATCGGTAGTTCGTTCCTTTTCCCGCGCGTCTCGAGGGGCATAATACACTTAAAAAAAAGAAAAACCGATCCGCGTTGTAATATCGCGAGTACAAGCATTCGACATCAAAATAATTCTTTGTTATACGATTTGTCTTGCACGCCGAATATATTTTTATCTATCTGGAAAGAGAAGATATCGGGAATGTATGAAAAATGGAAGGGAAACGCGGATAAAAGGCATAGATAGCGAGTGGGTGATCTTTTCCCATAGCTACGATCAATTGCGATGGGAAGCATGCGGCGGAATGAATTTGCAATTTGTACATTAGAAAAAATGAGAAATATATATATTTTGGCCTGCTCGCTAGAGAGGAGCATAATTTTTCAAGCGTAATTCTTACTCACCAGGAGGGTCGAGATCGTTCAGCTGACGTGAGTGAGAAAGCAAAAAGATATCGTATGAATTGGTGAAAATACACGTCTATAAAAGTAGGTGTAGACTTATTACGCCTCGAGCTTATTTATTATGTTATTGTAATATCATCATATTGTACATAACTGATAATTATTTCTAGTTCGTAATCAATTATTATTATTATTATTATTATTATTATTATTATTATTATTATTATTATTAATTAATATTTCATAATGGATAAATGAATTGCTATTGCATATACCACGACGAATTTAATCATCGTGCAGGATTCCTTTGATTAATCGTATAAAACTATCGCGAGTTCGAGAGAGGATTGAGATTTCTGAATTCTTTTTGGGGCGAGACAGAGGAAGAGAAAAAGGCTGATGAATGAATGAGCTATCTACAGCTAAAGACTGAAAGAGCGAGAAAGAGAGGGAGAGAAAGGGAATGTGTTCTTTTCTACTACTTTTCCTCGTCCTCCTCCCGCTCTTTTTCCTTTCTTTCTTTTTCTTTCTGATCCATTATGCACGATGTCGCCACGTGAAAAATTTTGAGAGAAAGCGATAAAAAGTGTCAATTGTTTAAAAAAAAATAGAACCTTCCTCGTGAATATATAAACAATATTTGTTTCGAGGTTAGGTTATAAAATACTGCCTTAATGAGATGTGTGTGATCAGTTGTAAATAATAGATGAAGAGAAATTAAATTTGAAATATGAATTATTAGATTTTTTGATTAGTAGAAAATTGATTCGTGAGACAAGCGACGAAGGGGTAGTATAATGTGATACGAACGAGACACTATTGAAATAAATCTTTTGAACTGTATAATGAAAGAAGGAAGAATATAAAGTTCGCTTTTAACTAGAAATTATACACAGAAAGGTGATATGAATTTTGTTTCTAGTACAGAGATATTTGTCCGTATTCTACTTGAAAATACTCAAAAGTTCTTTATGTTTTGTTCGCTGTTCAATTAGTTTTATTTTAATTTCTCTCTTTTAAATGTACATCTATTTACTTGTTCTAAGCACTAGTTAACGTCATCAATAAAATCGACATAAAGCTGAAACCGGTTTAGAAATTTAAGGATCGAAAATCTCTTACGACTCTTCGAGTACTAGTACACTTACAATTAGCGATACAATATTTAAATATTTCAATGTTGCATGATAATATTTTTGAATCCTCTGCGAACGTGCACCACAGTCTAGTTCCTGCATCATTTCCTTCCGTTTTTATTTTTTTATTTCACGTCATCGAACATAGAGAAGCATATAAGTTTGGGATGAACAGAATCGTTGAGAAACGAGAGAATATTCGAAACGCGGTGTATCCTTCGAGCAGTGCAACGAAAGAAGCTAGAAACAATTCGAGGCGTACGTAATCCAGTTCAGGAAAATATTCATGTGGCGACACGAAAAAAGATGTACACAGGCACACTCACTCTCGAACATTTCGACACGCGTGCACGGAATAATGCCGTGCACGTGCGCATGAATGATATAAATGTCGGCATGCGTGTTGATATAGATATTATATATATATAAATATATATACATTGAATACATATAATACCAAACGTTATAAATAAAAGTAAATATATATTATATATAGAGGATAAAATTATAATAAAAAAAAGGTACTTGATGGTACGTTATACATATTATAAAATGATCTATTTTATTAAGGATATTTTTGATATATCTATATATATATATATATATATATATATTATAAATACGAATATAAATATATGTATATCGAATTAAAACGGCGACATCACCGATTGATACAGATCAGCCGACGATATGTGTAATTATTGTTATCGATAAACGCGATGGCGTTTATTGTCGCGTGGTGGTGATTGTTTACTGACGAGCTGAGTACAGTGCGTGTCGAATTATACTTTAGAACAGTTTTCCTTTTTCCTTCTTGTTCGACTTTCTCTTTTTTTGGGTTATTCTTTAGCTGAGATAGAAGAGTGAAATCAAAGGTGAAGGAAGCTGTTGATAAGGAATGTGTAAACAGTCAGGCACATTGGTGGTAAAGCTGGCATGCAACATGTACAAAGTAATGATTTCATTCGAATTGTCTCGTACGATCGAAAACGCGATTAACAACCCTGATTTTTTGTTCCTTGCGAATATGCGTATATGTCTATCACCGAAGAAGTCTCAACCCTTTCGTTTCGTTTTCACTTTTTCCTGTCATACAATCGCTACGAAGGAACGCGGGTCCTTGTTATTAGAATAATTGTTACAGACCTACTTTGTTATGTATGCTTCGTTAATCGTGAATCGGAACCGAGTAATGTAGAGTGGTCGTTCCTTCGTTCGAGCGCATGAACTCTTTTTCGTTTTGCATACTTCTTTCGCGATAAAACGGATCAAATATTTTAAGTACGTTTATTCACTTCCCCTTGTACATCTTTTTAGTGTAACGGCTATACTTCATTGATATGTATCTTGATTACTGTGTAAGCCTGTGTATTAATTATAGTTTTGCGTTTAAAATATATCTTTCTTTTCTTGAATACACGTAAACGTTTGATTATCACAATTACCGCGTTTCACGTTAGCGCGTAATCGTTATAATCGTATCGGGTAGCACGATGATCGTTTAAATTATTGCTCAAACTTTTTTTAATCGTTAATCGTATCCACGCTTTTTTGCGTTTGTACACTTTAATTACGTTGGATTCGAAAGAAATTTCTATCGCTTACACGAGGATCGATTTTGGTGCACGCCACGTTTTTAGCGATATCTATTTAAACGGCGAATCGTTGCATCTAGCGTAATTGTACTTTGGTCGAATTACTAGAACGAATTGTACAAAATCGATATACCGATAAAATTTATTATGCCAACCGCATACGTCTCGGCGAATGATCCAGCTGACGTTTTGTGCATACGGAGATATACAACGGAAGTGAGAGAACAGGGGAGAAAGAACGGGGACGAGAGGAAGAGAGCGCGAGCGAGCGAGAGAGAGAGAGAGAGAAAGAGAGAGAGCGTGAAAGAGGGGGCGAGAACAAGGAAGAGAGAGTGAGTAAACTGAGTTTAAGTTTTAAGAATTCTATTTTTGTGATCAAAAGAAGTGTAATTATTGTAGTCAGAGGATGCAGGAATCGTCGAATGATTTTTCTCATTGGAACGTCGTATTTTCGCGCGCATCTTACTAATTAGTTTTATACTTTTAGCCAGAGTGCACACGAGCGACGTTTTCGCTCGTGTACATCTGGGCTGATCATCATTTTTTGTCACGACCCGGATGCAAAGTGCCTGAGAAAATATCGATATTTCTACTGAGGCAGGCACGTAATTATGCATAATTTGTTTGAACGCTTGATCTCATTTTGCTGAACTCTCATTGTAATCGTGGTCGTTGACCTTTACTCGGAAATCGAAGAGGAAATTCAGAGACCTAAAGACAAGTCATTCGATGCGTTCCTATTGCGGATAAATATTTTTCGAGGTGGTGACTGTGAACGAGAACGGATCGAACAGTGACAAAAGCGGAAATCGCGCTCACCGATCGATCAATTTATACTTGACAAAAGATATTTTAGCGTATCGAATTTAGGTCAGCTGTTGGCAATGAAAAGGTGAAGAAAGCAATAAAAACAAGCAAAAAAAATATATATACGTTAGATTTCTGACGGTGCGATGACTCTTGGACGTTGCGAATCAAAAGCGATCAGATTTCGATAGTTCTCGGGCGCCGATTACACGCGGTACATCGCTCTGCTGTTTCGCTTAACGACAAATTGCACCCGATAATTGATCGATATCGCGTGCAAAACAGTTTGCCGTATACAAATCGATATTTGTACGTATATATGTATGTAACTATCTTTCTTTTGTATGTCGGAGAGGTAACCGAGTTTACTTAACGTCGTCAACATTGCAACGCGATCAAACTGACATGTCAAGATATACGTGTAAGTAAAGTAAAATTTGAAAGTATATCATTGGCGCGTTTCGAATCGAGATGCACGACATTTCCACGAACATGCGAATCGAAATGGACACTTTTGTCGAGATAATGTCCGGCGAATAGAAAGACGTGTTTCCATTTTTTTACTGCGGTTTTGTATCTACGTCGAGCATATTCGCGTCGTTTGTTCAGATCCTAGCTCTAAATCCGAAACGGTCGAATTCGGATTACGTCGCGATTAAAAGACGCACAAATCACAATAACCGCCGCGAGCGAACGTGATTCGTAAGCGATAGAAAAATTTTTCACTTTTCATACCGTAAACTCACCGGATAACAAAACGCTCCCGATTCGCAACCCGTGAAATCACGATCTCGATTCATCACATGCATACGTCGAAACGAAATGACAAATTATTATTTATTTAAAAAAGAAAAAGGATTTACTAATCAGGTGGTAGTTACTTACCCTACGAATTTTAATTGATGGTTGGATAAAACGGAGAAGTGCTTATCCAGTTTAGAGAGAAAGTCGATTCGGTTAACGCTAATTTTATGGGTCCATCGTTCATTCTTCTTTTTTTTGGACATGGTTTCCCGGTAACAATTTTCGACGCTACATGTTGACTTTCGATCTTACAGACCGGTTCGGTTCGTGGATGATCAAAAGTCACGAAGCGATGTCAATGTAGCGGAAAATCAACGATGCGTAATACACATTATATTGTGTAAAAAATTAAAAAATTCAAATGGACGTAAGACAATGAAACGCTTCTGACGCGTAAGCAATGAATAGCATCTGCGAAACTTACACACAGACACACAAACACACACAACTTTATGAAACATTGTGTTATTTAAACAAATATTAACACGCGTTAATACTATCATGATAACCTTTGTTTATTTGGTTCTAATGTAATAGTTATTATTATTATTAGTTCGCCATCCTTTGTATATATTCGCAACACTCAATAAAAAAAGTATCAAAAAGATGGTTATATTCATTTCCCTTGCGTATTGTAATTTGATAATTAATATTATGTAGTTATGTATGCCTCTATAAATGATCATATTCTTATGTATCTGTAAACGGCTATAGTCCTGTGTGCGACCACTCTTCTTCAAGTCAAATCTTTTAAATTACCTTTACATCAGCAAGAAACGTAGTAGTGTTCATGATGTAAAACACCATGGTAGTGTTTAGAAATAAGGAGATTCACATTTTTTTATTCAGTTAGAAATGGCAAGTACCGACCGACGGACAACCGGTAAATGACATAGCTGCGTCGAGGCGCATGTAAAGTATGTGATTTTTGCAAGGATCAATTAATTCTTCTGACGTACTTATTAACAATCACTGAAGGGATTAATCAGCATCAGGTATTATATTTTTGCAGTTTATTTGCAAGTTGTTCGTATAATTGGTAACTGATCTCGGATAACTAGTACTAAAAACCTAAACAACGTATGAAACTTTATACATAGTTAATTACTTCAAGGGTGCTAATTGGCTATTTACATCGTGTATCGAGCCGAACCACAATTGAGTACAATAATCCTCGTTCAGCCACGGCGATTCGTATCCGTTTACAGATTCTTCCCTCGAGAAAGTGGTTCGGCCGTTCGAAAAGAAGGACGTGGGCTTCTCCTTGCGTCGTTTCCACACTCTCGTCATTATTTCTATTTCCTCGTACCAGATTTAGAGTTCGGTAAATACAAATATTAGTAATGCTTCGGTCATCGATCACGTAATAAGTTCACCTCCCGTTTCGGCGCCCGAACACCGAAAAGGGATTTCAAATGCGTAGACACTACCATCTTGTACAAAAGAAATAGAAACGAAAAATTGAAGTCGGATACTTTACTAACAATTCTTCAAATTTGTGTTCGCTCTCGGTGGAAACGAGCGAGAGACTTCGATCCTGCATCAAAGTATAAAAGTGGTCGGTTTAGACATCTAAAACGTAGACAAACGGTTGCACGCACGACATCGATCGTTCGGTTGTTTCTCTTTTTAAATATTTTGCGAATGGGTTACGACAAACGCAACCCACTGAGAATTGTCGGTTTTCGATATTTAAGAAGTTACGCTGTGTTCCATAACGAATTTATTCTTACGATATGGCCGGTGTCCGCGAATTAATCTTAAGCATTCGTGTAACTATAATACAAATAATAAT